GTTTGCTTCACGGATATCAGGGATGCGTTTCTGTGAGGCCAGTGCCAAGGACAACTTTAATGTGGATGAGATATTCCTTAAACTAGTTGATGACATTTTGAGTAAGGTAAGTGGAGCTGTTTTGACAAATACTTTGCTCATCAAAATGTTAATTCTGAAACATTTGATTAAAAATAGTGAGTTTCTCAGTGTCTGACGAGTCACGAGTGTTTCTGGCTCAAATTATATCATCATGAGATAAAAGGAGTTTTCAGGATTTCAGTAGACACGCAGAGATGGAATTTGACTATCGGCAAAAAGTCTGACCCAATTTGCTGTGAATAATGGCCAGTAATTGGCCACTTAGACAGGAAGGAAGCGTCCAGCCAACATGTAAAGTGACCAACTACACTTTACAAGTGTAGTTTATTAAATGTTGTACATGACATTTAGGAGACCAAATCAGGTGAGATTACATTTACATAACAAGTGTATTAGACAATAAGATCTGATGCCATAAACGTTGGCAAATGCAGTAATTATTTATAATTTTTTCCTTTTTTAAAATTTATTACAATTCCCATTAGGGCTGCACGATAAATGATAAAATTCTGATAAAATTGCCATTTTAAAATGTGATTTAAAAAAAAGTGAATTTTGTGATTATATAACAATATGATTGTGAATACTAGTAATAATAATAATAATATTTTACTGTAAAATTTAAAAAAGTCAAGTATTTAAGAAAAATCACTACATCACATGTATGTAATTCTGTACGTGACAAATAAAGAACCTCGAACCAGTACAACTGTAAAATTGCAATCTTAATTTCTTCAGTTTCAAATGTTGAGCTTTTATTTTGATGGAAAAATGCCTCTTTTGCTGACAACAGATGGTTTATAAGCACTTTGTCATTACAAGTTTGGGAAGATGTTTGGCACATGTTGCATTCTCGAATGCAACTCAAACGTACGCATTTCGGGTTTATTTTGATTAATCGTGCAGCCCTGATTCCCATCTCTTTTGAGCAAGATCTTACCATTTTAATGTGCAATGCACATCAGACAGCCATTGAAGAGTCTCTAACATCTTACAAACTGACTAAATGTTGTCCTTCCACAGATGCCTCTTGAAGTCCCCAGTAAGGAGCTGTCCAACAGCGTCCTGTCCCTTCAGCCCGAACCCGAAATCCCACCAGAGCTGTCTCCGCCGCGCATGCGCTGCTGTTGAGACTCGGTTCATGCTTTATTTAGAAACCCAACACCGCCTTCCCTCTGATAACCCAACACATGCTGTTAAAGACTCCCACCACCAGGGGCGAAATGCCCATCTCATGAGAGTCCAGCCCATACGGATGATGAGATGATGGCCTGTCATTACCAGAGAAGATGAAAGAAAAACACTCTTTACCGCATATAATCATCCTTCACAAACTGTAGACTGTGCAATTTAACATACTCCGTATTTTGGTACCTCTAGATGCCAGTAGAGAACATCCGTATCATCACCCCCCACACACACACACATAGATGCATTTATTTTTGACGGCCCATACTTACACTACCTCATTTCTGGGAAGCACAGGATTGCGTTTGTCCGACATGTGCCTTCCTGATCGGAAAACCGCTGCGCACGCATCACAAACATACATGAAATGAGTACATGAAATGTATGTCATAACCCATCAACTTCTATTTATATGTAGTATACATCATCATATATTCTCAGTAGAAACAAGAAACTACTATTTCTATTGGACGACGGATACTCTACCCTTGTCTTTCATATCACGTCCCAAACACGCATTTCTTATGGAAAACGTTCCCGGTCTCAATTTAGGAAGCTTTTTTCCAAATTGGTTTGGCATTAAAAGCGAAGTGGATGTACATTTCATGCCAAGCGTAATTCATTTCTGTCGGCTGTGTGTTTACGAGGTGGCGTGGTTGGGTTGTCCTTATGCCTTACGTCCTATCAGTGTTACTGTTTTGAGGTGGATTTTATGTTATCCGTTGTGTTTTGCACTACAATCCATTCGTAGCTACGTAGTTTACGAACAGCTGAAATGCTGAACGTTAGTGAAGGACCTATGTACAGAAGGTTAACCTTATCATTTAGTAGCGATTTGAGTTTTGTTGCTTCCTAGTCCTCTTTCGGTGTCACTTAACTTGAGTAGAATAAAGGAAGGTCAATAATTGAGTTCATTGTTTTATTCTCTAGATCTAGATTGCAGAACTGAAATGCTTTCACCGAAAGGGCTATTTTTCCGTGGAGAGCAGATTGGGAGTAAAACGGGACATTGGTTTTGATACTCGGACGGTTTCTAACCGTGCACTTGTTCCTAACAACACTCTTCAGTCTTCAGTTAACATCACTATGCTTCTGCGTTTCTGGACAAACCACTGACTCCACTGGATTTCAGTTGAATTGAATCATTTGCCTGCGTTAGATTGAGGACTTTAGTAATGATATAGCTGTGTTATATAACATGGGAACGGCTATTTCAGCTGAACCAGATATGCAGAAGCAACAGGTTTTTGTGTAAGTTTATGGAAATATGATGCTTTTTTCATAGAAACTGTCCATGAATATAGAGGACTGACAGTGTTACTGTGTGTCTGGAACGTCATCTACAAAAAAATATTTTTTGGGGTGAATTTAATGAAAACATGTCAAGGTCATATTTGACCCCCGAAATAAAAAAAAACAACAAAATGGGGGGTTCAATTCGACATATAAATGTTTTGGACAGGTTTAATGAGATTCACCATATTTCAAATAATAGAAAGATGAATTATGTGTGTTGTGGCAGTGTGTTTATGTTGTTTGTAATGCATTAATATTCTCGTCAGAACCAGTATAGTATTAAATAACCAAACTTGTGTCTGTTACTGAGGGACTCATGTTTGACTGTTGCTGAGGTGAAAAACAGCTTTTTTTGGTTCTGTGTTATTCTAACTCCATTTAACTCTTTATTTTTCAGATTTAACTTCTTTGAACTGTGTGTCTTTTGAAAGTTGATAACCAACCTAAACCTAATGTGTTAACAGTGTTAGGTAAAGTGTACTAACCTCAAAACGTTGATGTTTGCGGGCTTGTGCCATATTGTAACCTTATGAGATACTCTAATGATCATCCGATCCCTTTCACCAAGTGCTTTTTACTTTCTTTCTCTGCGGGATTGGCAGATGTTTCATTTATTTTGGATGGTAGTTGAATTTCTTCTGAACCTGGAGTCAGATTTTACTAAGCTATAACCATTTTTTAGTTTGTTTTGTTTTTCTTTTTATTGTTATTATTATTATTTCCATCAAACCCCCTGGTAATTTTTACATTTGTTGTGTGTCTGAAGGAGCACTCTCAAACCTTTGGCCTTTTTAGTTTTTCTTGTTTTTATTCATATTTTATTTTGCTTTGTTTGAAGCTTAGTAAGTCTGGCTTCATGCTCTTCAGAAAGACTGTCAATGACACATCAGTTTTCTTGAAAAAGTTAAACCCAGCATGCTCTTTGAACTCAGTAGAGTTTCTTAATTCTAGTAGCAATTCATGTTGGCTTTATAAACCTTCATTTTGTACAGAATAGCCTTGGTCTTGGTTTAGTCTCTCGGCCAATCACAGTACTCCATTACAAAAAAATGAAACGGATCTCATTACAATGCAAAACAGAAGAGTATGAATAATACGTTGATATTAGTTATTTGAAACAGTTTGGCATGTTTAAGCAATTTTGTGGTATAACTTGTGGCATTCTTAAACTAATGAAGTGCAAATAAAGATATATATTTATTACACAGATGTGCGCAACCATTCTGATGCTTTTCATTCACTTTACGTATGCATAAACTTACTTTTGCTGAATTTTATTCTATTCTTATATTACAAAATGTTTTAAATAATGTGTTTAGTGTTTTGATTTCACTTTTATGTTCAGAAATGTACTGCCTCCTTTTCACAGTATGATGGCGCTGTTGGATAAAGAAACTAATTGTATAACTACTGCTATCTAGCCAGTGTTAATGTACTATTGTTAATTTATTTAGTGTTATTTTAATGCAGCTTTTATTAATATCTTTAATTAACGTTTATTTTTATATTTTCAGTTTTTATTTTAATTATAGTTCGTTTTTTCAGTTTTGGTTTTAGTTTACTTTATTTATTTCCAACTAGTATGCTATTTTTAGAGCTTTAATTTCAACTGATTTCAGTTGGTTGCTGTATCATTTTAGTATGCTTGAGATACTATATTTTTTATTAATATTGCAGTTTTACGCAATATTTTCAGTTTTCAGTTTAATTGAATTTTTTACTATTTTGTCCTGTGTTTTTGTCGTTTTTAGTAGTTTTTGTTTTTATATATATATATATATATAATTTATTTCCGTTTTAGTTATTTTAGTACATTAGAAACATTTAACATTTTTATTTATTTATATACATAGTGTATCTGATAACACCATCAGTAAAATGGTGTTGTTCTGTAATATTGTTTAAAGACTCCCTGGTTGCATTTATTGGTTTTAGTTAGAAATTATTTTATTTTCATAACACATAGTTATCTAATGATAAAACATTGTTTCTCTCCCTGTATCTCTTTTGTAGTTGTGAGTGTGTGTGTGTGTGTGTGTGTGTGTGTGAGTGTGTGTGTGTGTGTGTGTGTGTGAGTGTGTGTGTGTGTGTGTGTGTGTGTGTGTGTGCGCGTGTGT